CCCCAAAACCCCAAAACCCCAAAACCCCAAAACCCCATATTTGCAATTAAATATTGATTCTGCAATTATAAAAAATTTGAAATAAAAGCAAGATGAAAGATTTGGTATCGATGAGTGTTCAATTTCAGGAAGATTTGGTAAAGAGAAACAGGTCTCATGTGAATTCTACTACATTCGACGAGTCGTTACTAAACAAAAGCAAATTCACCAATATTTCAAGCAATGTTTCTCAAGAAGAGGAACTGAATAGAAGCAGGTTACCAACAGTGGCATTTTATTCTAGTGATAAGTGGAAGACTAATTCTGGGTTCAATCCCAAGTATTCTTTGTCTCAGAAAAGAGATAAGAATGCTACAGGAGGTCATAGAGGAGTCACTCTCAACCAAGTTTTCCACAACAATGTCATCATTAATCCAAAAATGATAAAGAAGAAAAGAAGACATAGAGGAAGGAACAGATTTGAAAATAAGTCAGTTTATTGGGACCCAAATTACACTAAAAAGATCCTTCTAGATGATGGATCAAGGGAATTTGCCAGCATGGCTAGGAGATCCATAGAGCCTGAAAGTCTTAATCAAGACTCCTTCCTCCCAATTCCGAAGAAAAGTATCGATGATTCTCAGGTGGAATGTTCAACTACCGAAATTAGGTCCAGAAAAGAGCCTTCGCTTGCAAAGATATCTGTCAGTAGCGATACTATATTACAATGGATCAAGGATACTCTGGAAGATGCTACATATTTTCAAACTCCTGATACTTTCACAGGATCAGATATCAAAAACAACGTGATGAGGCAGTATAAAATAGATAGAGAGTTTTTAAGTATCTGTGGGATTCCAGAAGAGGCTATCTCTAGACTTTACAGATGCTTATTCGTATATTCCATAGGGTTTAATGACCTTCTGAAAACCCTCCTCAGTCATTGAAAAGACAAAGCTTCCTTAATATCCTCAATCTGGAGAGCATTTACAGTAATCTTAGAGTATAGCTGTAAGGTAGAGTACAAAGCCTTGATCAATAAATAAGATTGAAGAGCACCAGAATGAAATCACTAAGATTGAAAAAGATCATGAAGAAGCTATAAAAGATATTAAATTAGAAGTCTTGGAGTTACGCAACAAAATCTCAGGAATGGATAAATATGTGAGACAGTGTGAGAAGGAAAAATAGAGAAGCAATTGAAGCTAAAGAATTCATTCAGGAGCAGTAATTCTTCCTCAAATTCAAATATAGGATTAAGAATAAATCAGAAGAGTATGAGTATGAGGTACAGTTAAGACTGCAATTTGAAGCAAAGCTAAATTCTCTCCATTCGGCACATAGAGCTGTTGAGGGAGAGTTCAGGACAACAAAAGCTGATAGAGACAGATATTTAGAAGAACTCGTCCGATTTAAAGGTCTTTATCAAAATTTTAGAAAGCAATATTTCACATGAAATTCCGAAAAAGAAACTCTTGAATCACAACTATCCTTTAGAGAACAACGAATCAAAAGTCTAATTCGTGAAAATACCCTACTCCAGGAAACACTGCATGAATACGAAGAAAGAGTTGGGATCAAAAATAGAAGAGACAAAGCACAAATAGAGGTAGACTCCAAGACAGGAAAAAGGATCAGCGTTGAAGAAGCCTTAAAAGAGCTACACTCAATTTCGGAGGTGAACCAGGATCTTAAAAATGCTGAAGGGATATCTCCGAATCCTAAATATCTTCCTAAAGATCAACCCCAGATCTACGAGGAAAGATACAATGAACTTAATGAAAAATATCTGGTAATCCAAAGTGAGCTGAACACCTATAAAGCTAAAGAAACCAGCGATAATGGAATTGTCAAGGAAAAAGATGAACGAATTAGCAAGCTTAAGGCTCAAATTGAAGAACATCAAGCCAACCACAATAAACTGGATGACAAGTATCAGATACTCTTAATGGATAATAAATCATGAAAAGAAACTCTGAAATCAAGAGAGCAAGAACTTCATGAAGTCACTGAAAAGCTCAAGAGCATCAATAAAGCAAGAAATAAGGGAAAAACTGAACTAAACGTGCTTGAGAAGAAAATTAGAGAGCTACAAGGTCTCTTAGATAAGAGTCAAGAGGACCAAGAGATGTTAACAAAAAGACTAGAGAACACAACATCAGAACTTACCAAGATTCATTCCGAAAAAGAAGAGGTCCAGAACAAACTAAAGGATACTGAACGATACCACGCTCACTCCATAAAACAATACGAAGATAAACTAAGCACAGCCATGGAAATTTCAGCCCAAAACAAGAAAAAATAAAGAAGCCTGGGCTCAAAACTACGAAAAAGAACAATCCTCCCACTCCCTCACAATGTCCAACCTAACCAAACTCCAAACAACCCTCAAAGAAACCCAACTGAACCTCCAAACCCTCAAAATCACCACCAAATCCCTCGAATCCCAAACAGCCGCACACATTTCCAAAACCACCACTCTTAACACCTCCCTTATAAAATCCTCCCTCCAAAATGACAAGCATCTAAGGGAGATAGCCACTCTTTCAAAACTTTTGGCCCATTCAAAATCTGCTCTTGCTAAAGCGCAATCCAACTTCGCAGCCCAACTCGCCTCACAGTCAAAGTCCTTCTTGCTCAAATCCTCTCTTTCCCTCATGGAGTCTGAAGACCTTCGGTCTTCCCTCCTTCGTGAACGAAGGAGGGTGACCGAGCTGAAGGCCAAGCTCGAGGACCAGAGCCTTGCGCTAGAGCATGAGAGGGAGAAGTCAAAGCAGATGAAGGAGAAAACAGAAAAGGAAGAGAGAGAAGGAGAAGAGGAGAGAGTGCTGTTAGAAGAGATGCAGATGGTGGTGGATGAGTATAGGGATTGATATGAAGAGGTGTCGGGGAAGTGGAAGAAGGAGAGGAAGAGTCGACAGATTTTGGAGAGAAGTCGCCAGATTGATATGGATAGAGTCATGAGAGATGGGAAGAAGGAGGTCAAAAATTTGGAAAGTAAGGTTAAGAAGTTGGAGAAGATTGTGAGAGATCAGAAACTTGACTTTAGTAAAAAGCATAAAAGTAAGTTTTAAAAAGGAGAATATAAATCAGAGTAGAGATTAATAATTTGTAGGTAATTTGAAGCCGCAAGCTGCTTCAGTTCAAGCATCAGTTCCCACTCGAACTATCTCCACTGCTACAGCAACCACTATGAAAAACATTGAAGACCTCAAATCTACCTTAGAAAGTACCCAAAAGGACTTCCAGAGCCTAAAAATCCAAACCCAAGTCTACAAACTCAAAATCACAGATCTCGAATCAAAAGAGGCAAAACTCCAATCCCTCCTCCCAGACTCCACTCTCACTCCCAAATACCTCCCTCCATCGCAACCCATCATCGTAAGTCCCTTCTAATTCCCTCATAGACCAATCCTGGTCCATCACCTCCTCGAATCCCACCAGGGCCCACACCCATATTCAGTGCATTCTCTAGTTCAACTTTCCAACCTCCTCGCCACACACATGCATCTATTCCTACTAGAACACCTGTAGCCACAGTGACTCGATTCGTAAGTTATCATCAAAACCTCATTTCCAAAAGATCAATTGAATCATACTTAAATTTCTTACTTCAGGGCAAAACTTCAGGAAGAGGCTCGACCAAGAAAAGGAACAAGGACTTCAAGAGCTTGATGAGGATAGTATAATGGTGTACATATGGTGGGTTTTATGTAGAAAATTGGAGAGATTTAGGATTGGGAGTATGGATTGCAGTAGAAGAAATTCACAGATTTGGGTAGTAGTTATAGTTGATCTTTGTGGGGCTTTTATAGTAAGTTCGATGAAATTTGGGTACTATATTGGAAGAGATTAGGTTTAGGACGTTTTTAGAGTGTCTTATTTGTATTGGATTCTTTCGGTTAACTGAAAATTCATGATTTTTAGAGAATTCTGTTAATTCCCTCGTAAATCTATAGTAATGTTTAAATAGTCTAAAGATATCAATCCTCAAAGATGATTTTCATTACTCAAACCCATAATCACAATCTTTGTATCTCAAATCAGAACTAGAAATTTACAGTAATTTTCCTACAATTTATCACACTTTTCCGCTCTCAACGAAAAAATCGAACCATCCAGAAATAAATTAACAAAATCGGCATTTTGAAACATTAAATTTGGTTACCAGATGGTTAAGACAACTCTTGATACCTAGCCCCCATCATAAAATTAAATAATCTTTTAACGAAGAGATATAGATCTTCCAGTGAACTTTATCCACAAAAGTAATAGCCCAAAATTATTCTTGCGTTATAGCTAGTAGGAAGTAAGTTCAATATTTTGAAAATAAGTGGGGTTTTGGGGTTTTGGGGTTTTGGGGTTTTGGGG